TCCTTCACTGGTTGGTTTACCCTATATGCCCCCTTAAATAATTTTTAAAATATTTTATTTCTTTTGTAAATTATTATTTTTTTAAGGGGGGTTCCCCGCTGGATCCGCAACTGATATACATTCGACTGCTAATGGTAACACAAAAGCTACCATTAGCAGTCGACTGTGAACTTTATACAGCTCCCACGATCAATACTCAAAGTCCTCCCAGCTTCTCACAAAACAGCACTCTCACAGATATAATTCTGGTGGGGGAGTAGTGCAGTGTCCATTCACTAGTATATGAGACATGTTGAGGTACACAGATGAAGGTTGACATGGTCGATAAGTCTTCTCCCCACATTCACATTGATGTTGTCTACAAAGTGTTCCTTTCAGACCACTTGCAAATGTAATTTTTCTTGTAAAACTTAAAGCCTGCTGCAAATCTTAGTTATTTTCAAAATACAATATGTAATCCAGTAAATATGTTTAAAATAGGTTGTTGCTATTAGATGATTAATCTATGCTAGTTAAAAATCCAACCATTGCTAATTAGTAAAGATTGCAAATTTCATGACATTTTCACTGCACCTATTTCAGCAAGCAGACTATTTGTGTGAATATTTACATATCACTTTACACTTGTTTTTTCTTTCAGGGTTTCCACTCAATTTTAGAAAAAAAATTCTCTGACTTTTTCAGGTCAAATTCAATGAACATCCATACCATATTTTATCTAAGCCATGCAATTTTTCATCAGAAATTTTTTAATGTCTGTAATATTAGATTTGGTGATGATTGTTGAATGCGAATGGAAACTTGTCAGTTTTAACTAAAGTATGAAAATTTTAGAACAATTAATTGTAATAGATGTTGGAATTATCTAATCGAAGAATGAAACTAATTTACAAAGACAAAATAAGTTAGTAACATTTAAAATGATAAATCAAAATAGAAAAGTGCTTAAAGCAGCTAAATCCAAATTTGTCTTGATTTTGATTTATGAAGTCAGAAATACAATTCTAGCAGAAAACAACAAAAATTTTAAGATATGTGTGTTAGCCTGACACAGAGGAGTCTTTCTCTATTGTCAGTGGTGAAACCAAAAATTGACAGTGCTCCAAGGTCCCATAATGGAAAATCAAATTAGAAAAATTGAAATATTAATGCAAAGAAAAATTAAAGACAATCACAGTCTTAAAAAGTACACAAACTAAGACCTAATAAAGAGACGCCCACAAATAAGAAATATAAAGTTACAGTTAAACAGCCACATTAAAATAAAATATAAATTGCCAAATCATTAAAAAAAAAACTTTAGAAGAAATCAAGCTAACCCCTTTTTTGAAAAATATAAAACAGAAAAACATTCAATGAGTAAAAATTTAAAAAGTGCTGTCATCAGGAACATAAAATCCTAAATTTCACCGCATAGGCCTATTTATGCAAGCTTCAATATCGGCGAAATTATTTGAAAGTCTTTAAAATATTTTGAATCAAAATATCATAATTACAGTAATTAAAAGGAAAATTATTATTATCTAATGTAATCCTAAAATTCCCGATAGCTGAAAGAAAATCTGCTTTATTATTACAAATAAATTTTAATCTAATAATTTGACCAATCAAAATGTTCTGAAAGTAAAGGTTAGAATTAAATTGTGTTAAAGTAATAACTCTTCTATTATCGTATAATCCGATGAAAATTTTTTTAATACAGTACAGAACCCGTTATCCGGAAATCAGAAAACCGGAAAACCAAAAAACCGGAACGAAATTCGATACATTTTCCCGCAATTTAAAAAAAAATTTTTTTTTTTCCTCATAAGATTTTAGAATTTTTCTTTCTTTTTTGAAAGATGTTTACCTTACCATCATTTCAGAAATAATCATTAGTGTATTACCTCATCGTTTTTTCTTATTTTTAAGATTATTTCCAAATATTTTTTTTTTTTTTTTAGTTGGGTTTAACACTAAAAAAACGGCTTTTTGTAGCGATTCAGAAAACCGGAAAAATCAGTTATCCGGAATAGCGATAGTCCCGATCGTTCCGGATAATCGGTTCTCTACTGTATTAAGTTATCAAGATTTAAATAATAAGTGCTATTTTCTCTGAATTAGTCTTTATTAAATTTAGTTCTTTAGGATCTTTCATTAAATCAAAAATAAATAATTCCCAATTAATAAATTATGTTGTATGTTCAAAAAAATGGCAGAAAATATTAGCAAATTCACTTGCATAACAATTCCCAATGAGATACTTTGAGATGGTCTGTAAAAACAAATACCATTCAGTGTTTTCATCATAGAAAAAAAATGGGTGAGAATTTCTCACCCTTTCTCAAAAACAGGGTGAGATTTCAGAAAGTTAAGTGAGATTTCTAAAAACTGAAAAAATACAAATAGACTTGGAAAAAAAATTTCTTTTGTTATAATACATTTTTAACGTCTTCTATTTTTTAAAGCATTGAATATTTTTGCTGCATCATCATAGAAGATTTTGCCTTTACTAGGTATTTGTCCATCTTACATTAGTGCATAAAAAAATTTGAACGCCTTACATGAAAAACCATACCTACAGTAAACACGTGGTTGCAGAGAAATGTGTTCTGAAAGGGGTTCCGTGGTTCGGAGGGGTTATGTTCTGTTGTTCGAAAAGGTTCTGAACAATGCCTACTGGCAAATAGGGAAGCTGGATAACGGGGCAAGTGTTGAAAATAATGAAGATCCAGGAAGAAAAGTGAAACGGATTTTATTCTAAATAACGTAATTCGAAGCTTTTCCCAAAATGCGAGAAATTCGCGAATTTTGAAATTGATTTATAGAATGCGCGAATTTCTCGCGGTAATCATTTTTTAATGCGAGAAAAGAAAAAAATATGCGAGAATCTCGCGTTCTCGCGCTGTAGTGAAAACACTGCATTAAAAAGATAATTTTCAAAAATGTTTACAATACATAAATTTATTCAATCTTCCTTATTAATGTCATTATTCTAATAATAATCAAAAATTTCTAAACAAATATTCCTTAAATTATTGTGTGGTATACTCGTAAAGAGATTTTCAAAATCAGATGCAAGATCAGTAATAATATTATTGTAATTCAAATATTTAAAAGCATCGTGGTTGTTAGTAATAATAAAATGTTTATCATTTGAAATAACCTTACTTTAAATAATTAAAAAATCTTTTAATAAAAACAGAATTATAACAGCTAGTACTGCAAGTTACAAATCTAAATTTAACCGGTGTTTTGCGGAACTTAATTGTGGGAAATAAACAAGGATAATTAATGCTATTGATTTTTAAACCTATTTTCTTGAAAAAAAGCTACGGCAAGTTGCAAATCTAAATTTAAGTAGTCAATAAGATTTTTTTTTTTTTTTTTTTTTTTTTTTTTTTTTTTTTTTTTTTTTTTTTTTTTTTTTTTTTNTTTTTTTTTTTTTGCTAAGTTTTTTTATTTTTTTTTACTTTTGATTTATTTTTATATGTACATTAAAGATATAAAGTCGTCCCATGAAGAGATTGTTGATTTAATAATTGTTTGTCTCAAGAAGCTATTAACTGAACTGATAACAAAAACTTAAATATTTGCCTTAATCTAAGCTAAAGCAAGCTTTAAAATTTTTGTCTCAACATATTTACACTGAAAAACAAAACAGTTAAGAGGCTGTACTGAATAGCAGGTATTGGAGAGGGTAGTTCTAAAAAAAAAGAAAGACAGATGCCAAAAGAACAAAAAATTTATTTGTACAAAATGTAACATCATGAAGTATATACACTTGAAACATTTTCACATGGAAAATGAAAATGTGTGATTTTAATAATGTAATCTTTTTATTGAGCTAAAGGAAATTTTTTAAAAAAAAAGGTATTTAATTATTTTTAGTAGGATTTTCATGAAGAGAAAAAAGCAAAATTTGACGAATTTTTTTAAAATGCCATTGGTCACTAGAGTTTTAAAAAATTATAGACCATATTTTTTTTTCTTTTGTAAAAGTTAGTGATATTGACCTTTATTTAAATTAGATAGTTTAAATAAGTACAACATTATTGTAAATAACAGTTTAAACGTAACTTTTATATGGAATAAAATGAAAAAGGTTTAGAAACATATTTTAGTTGACAATTCAGTGGTTTTTTTTATCTTTAAATTTTATTGTTACTAGTTCTTCAAAATTTTTATTCCTTACTGTTTTTTATAAATTGTTTTTTTTTTTCCTTAACATGTTTTGTAAAATTAAAACCAAAAGCTTCCAACAAAAAATAGCATAAATGCAGATATATTTGTCCTGAATCATTTCCTTTAATTGTAAAGTTCGTTTAAGCAAACCCTTTTTTTCTTTCGTAATTAGCTTTTCTTCTTTTGAGTTAGAATATTAGGATTATGCCATTTGAAAAAACTAGTTTTGAACTCAGAAGTTAATAAATAAACTCCTGTAATATAAAAAGTAAAATTGGATACAAATAACAAAAAGATTTACAGAAATAAAGGGCTGAAGACATTAAAGAGGAAATAAGATTATCTGCAGAAAAGAGAGCACATTCACTTCAATATAAATAAAAAAATAAATAAATTATTCAAACTGAACTTTAGTTAAAGTATATAGAATGATTATGAATATTCATAATTTTGTCCTAGATTATGTTATGAGAATGTAAGAAAATGTGAAAATTAAAATTACCAAGACTATCTCTCTCTCTCTTTTTTTGTAACAAATCGAATTGTTTAATTACTTTTTATTATTTTTTATCACCAGGAAGCGACCACTACTTTTGCTCTGTTTCCCAGAGTTTAAAAAAAAAAAATGAATTCATATTTTAAAAAACAGTCATGTTTATAAATGTACATAAAAATCTGTTTAACAAAAATATGCATTGATAAAATTCCTTGTGCAGCAATGTGACTCACAGGTATAAGCTAGCCGCAAATACAATGTCTCTTTTTATGAGTTTTATGCCTGAAAAAAAGAAAAAGATTTTATTATTACCATTATTTGAGGCATTTTGAAAATTCATACCTGCCAACATTGGAGAAATAAAAGAAGGGAGATTTCACAAGCGACATATTTTAAGCTACGCGTAAAGTTTTGACACATCATGCATAATCACATAAATCAAAAAGAGAATTTCAAAATTGGATATAATATAAGCACTTACAATTAGCGAAGTAAAAAATATGTATATAAATCTTAATCTAAAGAAGTTTTTTTTTTTTTTTTAACCATTATTTGCAATTACTTAAACTATTTTATTTTATAACCGTTGTTGAACAGCCAACCCAATTTCGGGTTTACGACTAGTAATGTTCAACTCCGTAGCCTTCGAATTTTGAACCCAATACTAAACCGCATTTGAGTCAAAAGAGGAAAACCTCCCATGGTTAGCCTGACGGCACTTGGACTCATACCCGTTAAACTTCTATTACCGAGGATATTTTAATGTGCAAGCTGGATTCGTAATGATCAGTCATTGCTGAGATTCGAACCTGGTTTACCTCATAAGGAGGCGAACACTTCATGCCCTGAGCTACCACAAGTACTTAAACTATTACCACTCAACATACTGCAGTGCTGACAATAGCACCATCTGTTGAGGAATAAGAGAAGTATTTTTACCATCAGTGGATAATTTATGACCAATTTTTTTTTTTTAATCTCTTTAACAAATACAAAGAAATTTGAGAATATACAGGAGATATTTGCAAATACAAGAGTCTTTGTTAAAAAGCAGGAGACTTGGTAGGTATGAAAATTAAACATAACACGAGAAAAAAGTCTCATGAAGTTGTGTAACCCCTATAAATTAAGATAAATATACAGGGCTATTCATGAGTTATACATGTTCATTTTCCCCTCTTACTAAAAGTAAAAGTTTTACAAAGTGTAAGCAATCAATAAATATATAACCATAGCTGCCAACATTGGGTTTTCAAAAAAAGGAAGATATTAAAAGCTGTAAAATTTCAACGTATTTTTCCTCCTGAACACAATTAAATTTAAAGATTTGGCTTTCTTTAAAAAATTTTCATCAAATGTTACATTGTAGAAATTTTGATTTTTACAAAAATAATCAGCTTGTAATATTTTCTCTACAGGGATGAGATTAGCCAAAAGACAAAAAAGCTGAATTTCCACGATAGTAAATTTTACGCAAGTGCAAACCTTTAATAATAAATTCCAGACTGTTTAAGGTAATAAATAATGTGTTGACATACAATTGTGTACTAATCTATTATTACATAAATGATTACATTGATACTTAACATTTAGTGAAAATAAAAATTACCAATTGAAAAGCTGGAAATTATGTCTAGATCAGTCACAGTAACGAGGTATAATTATTTCAAGTAAGGGTGTGGGGTCAGGTTTTGGCTCTCATCTGTTAAAGAAAGGTAATCTTTTTCTCCGCTAGTGAAAAATCCAGAAATCCGGTTTTTTTACGGAGCACAATCATCTCTGCATAATGCTGTTTTTTCCCCCAATGATTTTTGAAATATGTTTCAAATTAATATGAATAAATTTCATCTTCTTGGCATAGTTATATAACATTCTTTAATAAGAATAACAACTGTTCAGAATAATACTTTACCATCAGAAAACTTTTTTTCCAATTCTGTGTTTCCAATTGCTTTAGCTGCTTGACACATCTGTCTCAATAATTCTTCCAGTCTCCTCATGCATCGGATGACACTTCCTGTTTTAATAAATACATGATAGATTGAGTAAAAATTCATATAAAGGAGGCTGGTTGAATATAAATCTAAAAGGATTTTTATAAATAACCCATCTGCAACTAAACTCTGATTTTGTTGATAAGAATTTCCTAGAAATGAACAGTAAAAACCAGTTGCTGACATGGTGGGTAGGGTTTTTAAAAATTATGAAATTTTCCCTTTTCAAAAAAAGAGTTTCTTTTTTTTTGTTCACCATGTCGATTTTCCCTGCTGATTTCACATTTTAATCAACCACAATCCATTTTGATGTAGCATCAGTTCGTAATGTATGACAGAGCCAATCATGTTACATGTAAAATATTGAGCAGTGACTATTGAGCTGGATTCAGTAAGATTATTGCACTCTCATGCGCAACTCTGCTGCATTTTGCAAGATATTCTTAATTTGAGGCTATAAATGTTCTGTTTGCTGATATCGAGCCGAAAAATCTTCTGACCATTTTATAACGGTTAATATAATTAAGAAAAGAGTTCTTTGTCAGAAAGTAGTTATTTTATCATGATCATGTATAGTCTTTGAAAATTATTTTGCATTTTGCTAATGCATGTAAAGCTGAAGAAGTACTTAAAAGAAGTTTTTTTTTTTTTTTGTAGAAAGATTTGGCTATGCACCCTGGCTGTAAAAACCAGGAAAATCATTGCTAAGAACAGGTCAGTATGGATGAGAATCCTCGAGAAGGCCAGGGCCCTACCTGAACTGTCAACCCCATGATGATAAACTCAAGCATGTACACCATTTTAGCTAGACAGTGGATACACACAAACTAATTGTTCACTTGAGAAAAGCGCGATTTAATAGCATGAACTGTGTTTGAATGAAATTAATAAGGTGGTTAAAAAATAACGTATGACATCAATGTTTATCTAAACTTGTTTTTGCTGGGTGCCATTACAAAATATATTTCGGTGATTTTCCATCCATAACAGAAATTTACTGTAACTAAGAAAGAAATCTAATATAATACAATAAAATGATGAAATTTTTAACATTTAATTATGCCATTATTCTTAGCTTTTGAGAATAATTTTCAAAATGTCTTTTTCCTGGCAATACTACTTAACTGTTAAAGGTTTGTTCACAAAAACATTACATGATCTTGATAAAATTACTAGTTTCTGATTAAGAACTATTTTCTTGATTATATTAGCCACCATAGAAACAGTTTATACAATCTGTCAAATATATTCAATATTGAGTGTCTTATTCTATTTCTTAAATTAATAATTATTTTACTTAATTATGTAAAATATTTTCAATTCACAACTAGAATTAATTTGACTATTATTTAAAAAGGAGTTATTTATAAAAGCATAATCAACAAAACATACCGAAATATTAAAGATATGTAAAGAATTAAAAAAACTTGAATAAATTCATATAACAAATGTTAATTAGTGAATGAAAGTAAATTCTTAATAAAATGTGTTACTTATTTGATTCACTATTTCTTTAATGAAATAATTTTTAAAAAATTACATTTTTTTGAAATATAAATAGATTGATTGTTGAAGCTAACCTTTTTTGTCAGAAGAAAATTATTATATGGACCCTACACTCATATCTAACAAATCTGGGATAATAAAATTTTTTAATTCAATTGTTTTTAAATCAAACCATTAAGAGATAAATTAAAGTTTCTTTGGAATGACAAACCTGAGTAACATAAGTTTTTTGCTGCATTCAAAATAGTGAAATCTTTTCATTTCATGCTTTTCTTAAAATACTTGCCTCTAAATATTATTGAGTTTTTCATAAAAAAATTTAAGTGCACAGAAAATTTTAAAAGTAATACAATAATGAAAAGTAATAAGTGAAAAAAACTTAATAAAGTACAGTAAAAGTTTACAAACATTTTATGCAATAAGTGGATGGTCCCCCACGTAAAAATCTTAAGATTAAAAACCTCATTAATTTTTATCATTATTAAATTAAGTGAATAAATAGGAGATGGAAATTTAGAGTAGATGACTAACGCTTTTATATGCTACAGACTGACGGTACGCCGAAATGGATTGTGACCAATGAAATGTGAAATCCACACGGCTTGGTGAAAAACGACATGGTAAAGAAAAAATCTCATCTTGGAAAAAGGAAAATTAAGCATCCTTTAAAAACAATCATTGTGTCCATTTTTGTCTTATATAGGATAATATTTTTAGGGGTGATTGTGAGCCCAACTGAAAAATCCTAAAAATTTCTTGAGTAAAATCGGAGAGATTTCTGTATTGTGTTCGACGTTAGAATAATCGCCAAGTCTTGGAAACTTCCGGGGCAGTGGCCCGTGAGAAACTAAAAAAACATCACAGAAAGGGACTAACTCGAAAGGTAAAACTCGTAGCCACCCCTGAGCAAACATTTACATATTTGTTTTGGAAAAATTTGCAAGTTAAAAATCTATTTGACACCTTGGCAATTGTAGTTGTAATGTCTTAATAAATTTATATCATTGATATTTTCAAAACATGAAATTCTAAATAAATTATATGCAGTATAATTTAAATGAATAATCATTTATAAGTTTACTTTTATACCTAATCACATTTATTATTCCACTAGAAAAAATATTAAAAAATGAAAGAGATGACAAGTATAAATTACAGTTCTAATATTTCTAAATAAAACACAAAAAAATGTTTTATACATAAATGTAATCAATAATTTCTTGACACTTTTGGACCTTAGATTTCCGGAAACTTCCAGATCGCGTTTACCGAAAAATGTGGAACACAATCATCTCTGTATTTCAGCCAGGTTTGGTTTTATATGTTTTTTTTTAAAAGCAAAATCCCCCCCCCCTTCAATTGTTTTCACCAGTGTGATTAAAATTGAGAATAAAATAAGACCTTCAAACACATCTGTCATTTTTGATATCTGCAAGAAGCTAGCTCCTTTGCTCCATGAACTGACTACATCCATCAAATGAGGTCTGAAAGATTCAACATAATTTTCAGAATCCAATTCCAACTTGCATTCTTTGCTTATTTTAGCTATCCTTCGGGCAGTTTCCTGAAACAATAATAAAAAGAGAAATCAAAAAATCAGATATAAAGCAGTTGAATACTACAATTCCAAAGGAAAGTTGTGCAGTGTAACAGAAATTTCATAAGAAAATTGAAACTAATAGAAGAAAATAATTAAAAATATAAAAAATAACCAAAGCTGGCGCCGTCAGGGGGTACCAGCTTCGGAATTCATAAAAATACATAACCTTTTCTATCGAGACAGCATACTTAGATAATATAGATGCACGGACAATGTGCGCGGATACATTGGTGGTGATTCTCTGATTTCGCGAAAACTTTTTCAATATTTATTGTAATATTAAAAAAGTATCTGTACGGACGAAAAAAATTTGCAGTGGGGGAAAGAAAATACGAAGCAGACAGCATAATCATGATTTATACAAGGTAGAAGAAAGTCAGTGTTTAGTTGTATGCCCACTTCACCCAAAGATATAACTGCCACTTTAGCCTTAAGATTAACGATCCCATCGTCAGCGGTCGGGCCTACAATCAGTTCATTTTTTACAACTTAGCTCGACGCGACTATCGCTTTACATCGAGAATAGACTATTGCGGTGACAGTAGGAAATTTCGAGCAAAATTAACATTACTTACTATGATATATGAATGCAGTTCTATGTAAAACTATTAATATTTCTCTAATGTTCTTTAAGTTAATGTGCATGTATATATTTTTTTTGTCAAGAATAAATAAAAATATTAAAAAGTTAACTCTTTTCGAACATTTAATAAAATTATTTTATTATCAAAAATATTATAAACTTGCAGACACTTTTGGATTGTGTAAGCAGATGTTTTTATATTACTATGTGAGAGAGCACGAAAAATGTCTAAAAATTGTTCTTTCTGTACCCCCCGTGCTGGATTACCCATTAACTAACTTAGTGGCGCGACAGCCCATTAAGAGGGCCAAGGCCGACTGTGCCCATCTCAGTTTTCTTGACCTTGGGCTCTGGGGTGCAGGAGCATATGTTCCGGTCAGGTGGTCAGCCGAACGCGGAACCCCCAGTGTTAGTTCCCAAGCATGCTTGGTACTCATTTTAACGACCCACTGAAGGGATGAAAGGCTGAGTCGGCCTTGCCCGGCCCAAGGATCGAACCAAGGACCTGTGGCACGACAGCGCGAAGCACTACCGCTCAGCCACCGGGCGTCGGCACCCATTAGTTTTCTATGGATTTGATGGATTTTACAGCAGTGTTGATTTTGTAAAATGTTAATTAATTTTAAATTTCTTCAAAATTCTATGATTATTTTTTAGTTCTAATTTATCAAAATAAAGAAAAGTTTAATTAATTATTATTTTAAAAATGCTTTCGTAAATGAAAAGATATATAAGTACTTTTATATTGGAATAAATAAAAAATATATGAGGAAAAAAAAAAATCTAAGAGCCCCAAAAATTTGATTGGCCTAGCGCACGCTTAATCTGGCACCCCAAAGGTTATGTAAAAAGTTCAGAAAAAGAGAAAAGAAATACAAAAGCAAATTACACAAACTAATTACAAAAGGAGAACATTGTAGAAAAACCTACTTAAAAATATTTTCAATTTGAGAATTTCAAATCGAAATACACAACTTTCTGAAAATCTTGAACCAAATCTAAAATTCGAAAACAAACCACATTTAATGCGGAGAAAGAAGAAAAAAAAGAAAATTAGGAAAGAAAGAAAGCCATCTGTTAGTAGAAAAGCTCAACTGGAGCAACTCATTTATGTTGAGTTGCCCCAGTTGAGCTTTTCTACTAAACTAATTTATAGACATTTGTCTTGCTGTCTAGATAGAAAAGGTTTTAATGAGAGCAGGTACCCCCTGGCAACGTCAGTTTCGGTTTATAGTTTTCATTTTTTTCCTGAAACAATGTTATATTTAAATAAAAAGGGTTTTTCTTTTGTAACAAGAGTGATCAAAAATTGTTGTGTATAAGTCATAGCCATAAAGTAAAAGCCTACACTAATTTATTATTTTAGCTAATTAAGCATTGATCCCAGGTCTGTAACCTAACTGCAGAAAAGAAGAAAAATCATTGTGAAACAAATATACACAAAAAAAAAATCTATACATAAACTAAAATAATAATACATTTAAAAAAGGTATAAGCATTAAATGATTAAGCAAACAACAATGTATATATACAATACAGAGCTCAGTTATGCCTCCACTTATTAATGGATAGCTATTTTGAATTCATTCATTTAAATATTTTAGGAAATAATCATAATTAAAGTAACTAATCACTAAGTAACTAATCATAATTTGAAATTAAAAATATGTAAAAAAAACTTTGGTGTTTATTTTTTTGTGCATAGAAAATAAATAAAAGACAATTGTTTTTGAGAGAAAGAAAAATTCTTTGTTCTTTCTTTTTTCATCGACACAAAAAAGAATATAAATATTGATAAAAATGACATATTCATCCTTTTTCGCACTACACATATCTTTCATAACAAGAAAAAAATTTTAAAAAATGAGAAATGTGCAGCAATAAAAAAATTTATGAAAATACCACTTGTGATAAAAACAGAAGAATTGGACAAGTCAAAAAGGGGTAATTAAATGTACAGTACACAAAAGAAAAAAAGGACCACATTGAATAACTTTTGATTTAATGATCGGATTGTCGCGCTCTAGGACTCAATTTTCAAATTTTTCTTAAATTTCACTAGAGAATACTTTGGTTTACTTTCCTTTGATGGATGCTTAGGAAGCAAATAAAAACTTTCTTTCTTTTGTAATGCAAGATGAAAAATCGAATAATTTTTTTTGGATACAGTAAATAAGTTAGAAAACTTTTGGAATGCATGTGTGAAAAAGAAACCAAAACAGAGAGACATTACAGATTGTAAGAAACCATTACAGATTATTTTTAACTTTGCAACTTTATTTCATTTTTTAAAGCAATTAGTTGCATTTATTGTGAGATGCATAGGAGTTATTAGCATAAAATGCAAAATAAAAATATTTATTGAGATGAAATATAGATCAATTTACATATTCATAATAAAAATGCTAAGATTAGAAAGCACTAAAAGATAATAAAAAGTGTTTTTATGTATTGTACAACTTTCATCAAAAAAATATCTGAACCGACAACCGTTTTGAGTTAACGTTAACAAGATTTGAATGTATATGAGGGAGTAATTGGAGTCAGTCTTTAAGTTTAAAATTCAGAGTCACTCATTTTCTCTACTGACTCCACAGTCCTGCTATAAACACAAATAATATGTGCACAATTAAGTATTAAATTTTTCAATACTTAATAATTGTACTGTTATGAACGTGCGGCAAAACAAAAATGATAATTTACACAAAATTTATCCAGAAACATAAGCTTATTTATTTATTTAGAAAAATAAGAATAACAATAAATCTCAATAAAAAATAAATTATCAAAATAGAGGTTTTAAAATTCTGTACAAAAAAGAAATAACCATAGTAATATATAATGTGAAAATAATGTGATTTTTAAAATAAATAAATGTGAAAAACTTTAATTTCAGTTTTGATGTACTTTTCAAATTAATTCCATTTATTTAAATGTAATTATCTAATACTATTGGTTAATTTTAACTTTATCCATTCCATCAAGTTTCTCCTATTTTGGTTTTTTTTAAAACCAGTTTCTTTCTGCAGGGTGAGCAACCAGATTTTTCAACAAAAAATAAGCACCTTTTAATTACTTTCAAAGCAATCAAAAAATATTTTCAATCACTCCCCCCCCCCTAAAAAAATCATAATTAGGACCTGTGCAGTAATAAAAATTATATTTTTCTATCTATTAAAGTTCGTGATTTATAAATTTAAAATCAATAAAAATTCGAAACATTTTCAGAAATTTTACATAATCATGATAAAATAACTAGTTTCTGATATGTATTGCAGAGAAAATTGTGAAAATCATGAATTTTTTGCAATTTAAAACGACAATCGACACAGCAAAGTAAAAGTCTCTTTTATAAAAGATAGAAAAATAAGCACTTTTTACAATCCTCAAATTTAAACAAAAAGCACCTTTAAGGGTTTTAAAAATGTAAATCAAACATAAGAACCTTTAAGCACTTTTTAAAGATGTTAAGCACCCTGTCCAATGATTAAGGATGAAAAAAAAAATTCCAAAAGAAAAATTTAGTATCTTCCAATTCCACCAGGTTCTTCAAGTAGCCTGGAAGAAAGCCGGAGAAATCTCAAGTGCAATTATAGGTTTGAGAGAGTTGACCGACCTGCATGAGTCGTAGAGGTCCAGACAATTCTTCTGTGAGTTTTGGCATTTCATTTGATTTTTCTTGAAAGACAAAACAACTGAGTAAGGAAGTGGTCTGATGGACGTCCAGGTTATTAAACACACCATTGAAAATCATTTCAGTCAATATCAGCTCATCAGCACTGAAAAACAAAATTTAACAAAAATAAGCACCCTTTAAGCACTTTTCAATGCACTCAAAAAATATTTTTAAGCACTTTAAAAAAATATCATAATTAGGCAGGGTTGGAAAGTGTTTGACAATTCAGGTTTTATATTGTTTTAATAGTCACGTCAGATAAAAACTTTCGGCATTGTTTTTAACAATTGTCAAAAATAATGAAATTTTGAATCATGTAAAACGAGTGGCGTTTTCATACGCGACTGACAATACGACTAAACAGATTGGGGTTGAATTAACTGAGAAAACGTTGAATAGAACCGTGTGAACAGTGCCCTTTTGCACAATTCGTAACAAAAATCAACATGGTAAAGGAAGAATCTCATTTTGAAAAAGAAAAAATTAAGCACTTTTTAAAAACACCCAATGAAAAGAGCACCTTTAAGCACTTTTTAAAAATGCTACGCACCCTGTTTGATCTTCTGCAGAGGGGAGGGCTCCCCTGCTTTGGTAGCCCGACGACCTGCGAGTGAAGTCGAGCATTTTCAGTAGAACAGTTTAACGAGGACCGATACCGTGCACCCTCTGTCCCTACACAGACTGATTGAAGTGGTCACGTCACCCATCCGCTTACTGACTTCGGTGTTCTACTGGGATCAAATCACTTAACGATCAGTCCATTGCAGGACGATAAAAAAAGGAACCACCCTTTAATCGAATGATTGGATCTTCGCATTCTAAGATTCAATCTTAATGGTTTGAGGGGGAGATTTCAAATATGCTAATTAATTTGTGCAGATGATATTTTAATTTACCAGATTCGACGGAACACGTACTCAAAGCCGTCAACTTGTTAAAAACAAAAATAGGAACACAAAGCATGATTAGCCAACACAGAGTGAAAACTCCTGAAAGTTTTATGCATAAAAAATTTATAAACCATTTCATATTTAACATAGTTTTTTGAACTAACATTTTTAATTAAATTACTTACTAATAAAAAAATATCATACCTTTATAGCAACCATTTCATGAAAAAACTTACTTCTTACCAGGAATTATGATATTGGATTCTAAAATCACGTGAATATGAATTGCGATACAGAGTTTTAAAATAAGTGAAAATATAAATTGCGAAATTTAATTTTTAAATCGCATGAATACAAATCATAATGGGTAGTTTTTAAATCACGTATAAATACGAAAATCAACGTTTGATATTACAACTGCGTGAAAACGGACTGAAATATAGGTTTTTAAGTATGCGTAAAATTCTAAATTGCGGGGACAGGAAACAATATGTGAGACTTTTAAATTGCATTAATATGCATCACACAATGTAACTTTTAAATCTAGCTAATATGAAACTCGATGATTGGTATTAAAATTGTGCGAATACAAATAAGATATTAGCAGATTCCAAAACAGATCAAAATATTTAAAATGATAAAAATCCTCCAAATCAAACGGACGAAAAATCTAGGTAAGCATCTCGTTAACGAAATTCAGCAAAAGTTAAAAAATTTTGTCGGATATAAGGTTTTCATTCACGGAAATAAGTGAACCAATGGTCTTGAGATACAAGGAATTATGCGATATTTGCACCTGCTTCTAATTCTTAGACCGGCTTTGTGTTGAAAGAAAATCAGTATAAAGAGTGAAAAGGCACTAGAACACTGAAAAATCAGAATATTTTGACTTTAAAATGTATTTTCAAAGCAAAGCAATACAATTAAGAAATAAGAAATACCATGAAATATTGTTATGCAATAGTCTTGTAATCGTATATTTAGATTAATTGTAATAATTGCATATAATCAAGATTGCATTCAATCGTATATTTTGATCACTTCTAATCACGATTACAAGTAATTGATTACAGCAACTGGTTATGTAATAAAAATTATCAACGTCAGTAATCTCGATTACAATTTATTACTGTAATTGAGTATTTTAATCATGATTACAGTTGCAACGAAAATTACAAGTAACTGATAACTGTAATTGAAAAATGTAATCGATTACATTTTCACCCTACTCTGATGCAATCTAAAATAATTATTACTTGTAATCACAATTGCCTGTAATAGTTACTACAAGTAAGAGATTATATAGCAGTAATTCTCTCTAATCAATTACTGTAGTTGATGCCAAACCCTGGTATAAAGTGTATAAAAACAAGCAATATAAAAGAAAAATTTAAAGTTAATTCCTACTTAGGTCAACAAAAAACATTTTAATTTTAGTTACTTTTTATTAAATAATAAAAAAATTTCACCCATATAAAATTAAAATTAATTAATTAAATTTAATGAATTAATATTTTTAAAAAAAAAAAAACAGTATTAACATCGAGTGTCATGTTTAAAAAAAATGTATTTGAACTTGAATTAAAAAGTATTTTATTAAGGATTGATAATTTGAGCAAGATATGTGAACTAATAGTAGGAATTTAAAAAACTAATTGAATTAAAAATGAATTTGATACCTGCTAATTTCACATGCAACACGTCCTTTAAGTTCAATGACATCAGATGCTGTACAATAACCCATCCTCCTTAATACTCTCTTTCGACATTTTAGTTCATCCATTTGCAAGAGTGATTGAGCTTTCTTCAGCTCTGCTTTTGCTTCTTTTAATTCACTATGAATCTAAACAAATATTAGAAAAACCTTTATACATCTGATAACATTGGAGAAATAAAATAACAGAGAATTTACTACAGACATTTTTTAAGCTACGCGTAAAGTTTTGATACATAATTCTGCAAGTCAACAAGAGAAATTCAAAATCGGAAATAAAGTAAGCACTTAATTTTAGCAAAGTAAAAAACATGTATATATATCAAAATCTAAAGAAAATTTCTTTAAACCATCATTTATAATTACTTAAACCATTTAATTGCTAACTGTAGTTGAACAGCTGACCCAATTTAGTGTTTATGACTACTAATCAGGGTTGGGATTTTGCCGTCAAAAACTGGTTTTTGACTTGACAGTGGTAAAAACCGTGTTTTTACCGGTAAAAACTGTCAAAAACCTACTGTTTTCTATAATTTGTGGCATATAGCGGACAATATATTATTTTCACTTAATTGCCTTTATAAATGAATGTTGTAAACAATTGCTATTGATTTTGCAACTATATACATGTATTCTTATAGAAGGATATACATTCATACAGAAATATTGTAATATACTTATTGAAAATAGTGATACTTAACTTTTATCATTATAGCTTGATTTGCAAAGGATTAAAAATTTTGCACTTCTTAATTGTTAGAAATAAGCAAACAAACAAAAACACTTGGAACTATTAATAAATTCAAGAACTAAAAAGAAGAATTTAAAATTTGGCATTTCTTAAATATTAGAAAGTCAGGAATGACTTGACATTCTTCAGTAATGTAATATGCAAAACAAAATGATGCTTGGAAATGTTGAAAATTTTGTTTAGTGTCCTAATATTTTACTTCAAATAGTATGATTTGATATAATCATGTTGGGAAAATGCAAAAATCTGTTCTTAAATATCTTTTAGCAACTTTTTTTCTAATTTTATTGCCCAAAAATGAATTAATTTTAAATCATAAGCAGTTAAACTCAAATTAAAATACAGTTTTCTCAGAACTATGGGTTTGTGAGTTTTCGACATGACGGTAAAAACCATGGTATAAACCGGTAAAAACCATCATGTGTCAAAAACTTGCCAACCCTGCTACTAATGTTCAACTCTGTAACCTTGTAATTTTATACCAGATTCAGAAAACAAAGGAACTCCTGGATCAAATATTGGGAGAAAATTGCCTTTGTGGAGGACATTTTGCTGGAACTAAACTGCATTTACATTACATGGAGAGGAAAACCCCGAAAACTTTCCAGGGTCAGCCTCACGGCAAGGGGACTCTAACCCATGATTCTCCTACCACTGAGAATATTTTACATCAGCACTGTGGAAGGCGTGAGCCAGGTGCGGAATTCAACAAATTCAAGTATGCATAACAATGATCTGATCATAGAATACTGCAGCGACAGTGAAAACTGTTTCCCTCCTTAATGAATACCCAACAAGAACAAATTGAAAGACTCTAATTCTTCATAAATCTATCAATCCTTATCTCTCCCTAAGGTTTGTCTTCACATCGCCTGATCCCTAGCCTCCACCATGTTAAAGGGAGGAGACAATAAAGGATTTGTAGTTTACAAATTTTGTGGTGGGTTAAGCTTCATTGAATGAGTCAAATTATCTTGCCCACCCAATAGCAGAATTTTCTTGAGCTTTCTGTGACAAACTTCCCTAGAACTAATATTTCGCTTTAACGCATTTTTAATTATAACAATTACTAATTTAATGTAACAGAAACATCGTGTTTACAGAAGAAAGTATAGAATAAAAATTCTTAATTGTAAAAGTAATATTTTTTAATTCAAATTATTCTAGGCGATATTCTCGCATTTTGTAAATCATTGTGCAAATCAAAATTCATAAATAAATTAAAGGATAATAAATTAAAATTCGTACATAAATTAAAAATCATAAAATCCGTGTAGTAGCTCCCAAAATAAAGATCCTGAATCACGCAAATAGGACTCTAAAAAAGAGCTACTCAAAAAAGCTAATGTGAAATATGGTGTTCTTTAAAGGAAAAAGAAATTAAAGAAAGAAAATCCTCTTTTAAACGTTCAGAATTTCTGATTTTTTTAAATTTTATATTACAAATTTAAAATTCTAGTTGAAGCCAGTCATTACCAATTTTTTTAAAATCTCAAATGAGAATAGCATGATTATTTCTTTCCTCAATGAAGCGCAAGTCTTAATTCTGCAGGGAAAAAAAAGTTTTCAAAAAATTATGCAGGAAGGAAAATCAAAATTTTCCCCATCCCAAATGAAAAATCTTTCTTTTCAGCAAAAACTCTAGCGTTCTGCGACAATTTCGCTGCAATTCTGTCACTGGGCTTGCGGATAGTCTAGTAATGCAAATTTTTTTCCCCTGCATAAATTTTAGCAAGATAATTGATTTGTTACTAATAATTACCAATACAGGTCCGAAAATGAGTTTGAAAAATGCTTGAAAGAACAGAATGTTAATAACTTAAAAGCACTCTCCAATATACAAAACTTTTAAAATAAAGATCTTACCGAATATTAGTCAAGAAAGTGTGTTATCTACCTATTGGCTTAGATTTCTAAGAGACTTAGAATATCAAGTAAAAAACATTCAATAAATATAATAAATAAAAGATGTTTCTTGATAAAGTAGCATAGTTGCTTAGAAAATTAGCAATACAGAATTCAAATTAAAATAAATAAGTAACAAAAAATTTAGCCTTTTCTTTTCTGAAGTTATATTTACGATTTCAGCAAAAACGAAATTATTATTAGAGAATCGTAATTTAAAGAAGAATTAGTTTCTAATAATTATAATTATTACTCTCTATAATAACTATTTGATACACTCCAATTTTTCTTAAAGAAATTTTTTTAACTAATTCACTTTTAATCTGTATCAAAATTCTTTTACAAGAAGTCTTTTAACCACATATTTATTTTAAAAGGAGCCTATCTCTGTTGCTACAGTAACAAAAGTGGATTAAGGCATTGATAGCAGAAGGAGAAATGAGGATTGAAAAAAAAAACATTTTGCTTTTATTCAGTTTTTGCAATTGAAAATAGGATTCATTAATGCGCTTTTTTCCTTATTTCTTTTCATTTTTGTAAAAAAGATATATATTAAATTATGATGCAATTTATTAAGTTATCATTGTACCTTCAAATACCTTTATTTTGCTTTAAAAATTTCAAACATAGATCATAATGTTATAAATATGTAAAAAAAACTGCAGACATTTTTTTTTATTTCAGATAGATAAATTTGACGAATGTGTCAAAATACAGGAATCTTCCCCCAAAATAAGTAAATAATCTGGAAAAATTACAATTTAAACTCAAAAGCGATATTTTTTTATCACATATCAAATATACATTGTAATTTTTTATATTTCAGATAGGAAAATTTGAAGAATGTGTCAAAATTCAGGAATTAAAATCAAATTGTTACCAGACATGAAAATATGCAATATAAATAATCCGGAAAAATTACAAATTAAACTCAAAAGTAATTTTTTTTCTTATCACATATCAAATATACCGTATATTCCGGCGTATAACGCGCACTTTTAATACAAAAAATAACATTGGAATTTACGGGTGCGCGGTATACGCCGAATATAAAAAATTATAGTAGATTAAAAAAATTTAAATATTGAAAAATACTTTTATTTTAAAGAAATAACAAACCTTTACCTATATACTTTATTGATTTTCGTTATTACATAAATAGTTCATTATATTCGTCTTCCGTTATTTCTTCAGGCGCGTCATCACAATCTGTTTCGTCTTCATCATCTGTGTTACCCTCACCCATAAATAAACAGTCTTCTTCTGATCCATCCATATTATTTGAAATGCTGCATTTTTTGAATGATTTTCTAATCATCTCAGGTTTAATTTCATCCCTTACTTTTAATATCCATTCGCACACTGTTTCCAAACTTGCATGACGCATAATATGTCCTCCTTTCGTAAAGGTTTTCTCGCCCTCCAACATCCAAGTGTTCCATTGTTTTTTTAAATTGGCTTTAAATAGTTTGTTTAAGCAGACGTCCAATGGCTGAACTAATGGTGTCAATCCGCCCGGAATAACTGCCATGTCGGTGTTACAGTCTTTCAACAATTTTTTTGTATTATCTGTAAGGTGGGACCTAAACATATCCCACACTAAAAGGCTTTCTGGTTTTCTATTGATACTAGACGAGATATTGCACATGTACAATCCAAATTTTCGTTCGCATTACACGAAGAGTATATCTTAAAATTTAAAAAAAGTTATTAGAAATTACGGGTGCGCATTATACGTCGGGGCGCGTTATGCGCCGGAATATACGGTACATTGAATTTTAAAATGACAGGACGGTGATAAATATTCAGAAAAAGATTGCGCTGAATTTTTGTAACCAATAGCACAAATTTCTTGTTAATTTATCAGTTATACCTTATTCCAATACGAAGTGTTACAAAATACTAATTTATACCATTAGAGTCAAAAATAATATTTTTTTTAACAAATATTACACCACCGATTGTCCATCCTTAATATCGGACTTTTGGGTATAGCTCGTTCCCCAGGAGTTGGCACTTAGCTCCGCCTTCATCAAGTGGTATGTGACGACACTATTTCGCTATTTTTGGAGAAGGCTGTGAGCAATCCTGAACAAGGTTGCTATTTGGCGATCGTATGCCAAAAATACTTATTTTGCAATGTTTATCTGCATTATTTTAACACTAAATATTTCATAAATTTGATGATACTTCTCTTTTGAGTGAGTAGTTTGTCCTTTACGAGACGTTTTGCTGAGAAAACAGCAGTTTCTAAATTTAAAATATACTTAATTAGCTAGAGAAACGAAAGGTATAATAGCAGATGATAAAGCAAAGTAAGTGACTGAAAAAGAATTTACTGTTTGTGATCGGCACGCATTAAGGGTTGTCTTAATTTCAAGCGCAGAGATGTTTCTCTTCTTACTCCAGCGGTGAAACGAACTCCGCGTCCGAGGACGTGGAGTTAAGTGCCAATTCCTGGTGAACGAACTATATTTCAAACTCAAATTCGGATATTTTAATTAAATTCCAGGCATTTTTCAGATTTTTTCCAGCGATGAAATTCACAGACTTATCTCTGTTTTGTGAGTGCCGTGAGTAACCATTATAGTTTTAAGTAACAATTAGGAATCAAAACTGCACTTACTTCTGCCTTTCTCTTGTACTGGCTAATGTAGTCATGAACATCTGGGTTATTATGGAGCGAATGCTGATTCAGTCGTAAATTGAAGGCTTCAATTTTCTGAAATTGAGGAATAAAGATGAATTTAGGATATAACAGGAAGCATAGTCAAATTTTTCAACAAATAATAAGCACCTTTTAAGCATTTTTCAAGCACTCAAAAAATATTTTTAAACACTTTGAAAAATATCATAATTTGACAGGGTTGGCAAGTTTTTGACAATTGATGGTTTTATCCAGTTTTATTGACAGTGACGAAGACAATGGCGAGGCACAAACGTTGAAATTAACAAGAGAAATGAAATATGCTATCACTAATAAAGAAAAAAAAAATTGACAATTTTTAGTTGGTCCCCGTAATCAGCAAAAACTCAAGAGATTTTTCAATTTTATTACAGAGGGCAGAAAATGAAGTCTGAAATTGAGAATCTCTTGCAAAATGCAGCATGGTTGCACATGAGAATCAAAAATCCTTACCACTGAATCCAGCTCAGTATACGCAAGTGTGGACCTGCAAGTATTTCATCATACTTGTAAAACAGATGGTGCTTTCATACACTACAGACCGGCGGTTCACCAAAATAGATTGGGGTTGAATCGATTGTGAAAACGTTGAATAGGACAGTGTCTTTTTGAATAATTTGTGGCTAAAATCAACATGGTAAAGAAAAATATTGCATTTCGGAAAAGGGAAAATTAAGCACTTTTAAAAACATCTACGGAAAAAAGCACCTTTACAGGCTCTTTAAAAAACGAAAATCAAAAATAAGCACCTTTAAGCACTTTTTATTAAGCACCCTGTATAAGAAATTGAAGAGAGAAAACAAAAAGATTTCTGAAAGAAAATAGTAGAGATATTTACTTTCAACACATCTTTAAAGCCTTGGTCTTTTATTTTCATGTCCTTCACGGGATCAAGAAGTGGCAAACCATCAGGAAATCTTTCTTGAATTGTCTAACAAATAAAAGTAATATTTAAAAAGTCAATTCCTACTTAGGTCAACAAAGAAAAAAAAGGTTATTTTAGTTACTTTTTATTAAACAATTACAATTTTTTCTCCTATAAAAAACTATAATTAATTAAATTTAATGAATGAATTAATATTTGAAAAATCTGTATTAATATCAAGTGTCATCCGCTACAAGTTTTAAAAAAATGTATTTGAACTTAAGTGGATGAATAAAAAGTATTTTATTAATGATTAAGAATTTGAATAAGATATAGGGAGATTGTGAACTAATAGTAGGAAAAGAAAAAAAGATTTCTTTATCTTAAATCCTTAATATAAAGAAAATTTCAAATGGTGTTAACTTACTTGAATTGTTTTTAAAACTTGCATCCGATTATCAAGGGGTCTAAGATCTTGAGGGGTGTAGGCACGCACAGAGCTGAACTGTTGTATTAGATCTAATTTTACAGGAACAACCTAATAAAGATAACCAGTTAAAAATTAGGAAAATAAAATTGGTGCAATAATATTTAATACAATATAGTTACCAACTATTTCTTTTGTAAGATTTTATTTTTTAATTCTTCGATTTATAAATTTAGTTTAATATGATTTTGACTATCACAAATGTTCAGATCTCTGTTTATATTTTCATCCAACATTCTTTCGTTATCATAGGAGAGACTATAGTAAACTCCTTATGTGGGTGCTCTTTCTTTCAAAATTTTTTCTCTTATCAGAAAATGTTCTGTCCAATGTGGAATAATCATAGAGGAAGTACTTTCCCTTACTTTTAATTTTTATATGTCTGCTCTCATAACGGCAAACAAATAAATATGTATGTTGTGGTCAATTGCTTTCAATTCGACTTCACATAATGCTGACAGACCAGAGTTAACAAGGTTTAGGACAGACTGGATTAAACCAGAGTCTAAACTGTCCTGTCTGAAACTCTTTTATTCATATTTTGACATAATTTTTTAAAAAAATAGGGTGAAAATTAAAAAGTTAATTTTTGGACAAGAAACAAAATTTTTGTTTCATTAAAAAAGTAAATTTTTATTTTAAATGTTGCATTATTTATTCTTAAGTAAAGACATTATTTATCAGTATTAAAAGCATATTTATACATATTTAAAGGTATTCACTTTTGTTATTCAATGAATTGTGCAGCTTCAAAAGTTATTAATCTTTTATTATCATATTATATTATTTTCCTTTAATAAGTTAAATTAAATTTTATAAAAAGTGTCAAATATTTATAATATCAATAATAGATATATAGAATTTTTACCTTTTACTGATTTTCCAAGATTTTGGACACTAACACAGTTTAGGACAGTAATAGATAGTAATAGTCTATGACAGACATTTATTTCTCCTCACGCATTTAACAACTTATAATTGATTTAAGAATACATAGAAATACTAATTAGTCACGCAATATTATGTTTTAGGTGTAATAAATAAGAAACTGCCTACAATTACAAATCAAATACCATTTCACTACCATTTGAAAAATTTATCCTTGGAAAGAGTAAGCAGCTGTGATTCAATTACTACATCAGTTATCTATGTAAAACCAGGAGAATATGCTTTTTAATTACAGATGGAATATATGTAAGTGTGTGCTAAAAATATTCTACAATTATACTGAAAGCATTTTTCATATTAATAAAAATATAAACTGGATAACACTCAGATTTTAAATTGCTTTTTTACTCTCAGAATTTCATACTTAGTTTAGGTATAATAAACTCCAAAAAAAATAGTAAATTAATAAGATAAATCATTGTTTTGGAAAGACTGTTTGATAAAGCTTATGAATGTAAAAATTAAACTTTTTATATTTTGAAGATGGGGCCAGTCACCAATTGGTCTTGGGGTGTATAAATCCTTTGCCCAGGCTTAAATAATCGATAATAAAAGAAAGAGTTTATATGTGTGCCTTGCTTCAGCTCCAGAATATTGATACACGAAGTTTGATATTGAAACAAAAATTGATACATGAAGTATATTTTCTCAAACATCAAATTAAATTGACATATTTAGCATAGATAAGTAATTGAAATGTCATGTAATAGCATTGATGATATTGCAGGGGTTCTGAAATGATTAATAATGTGAATCAAATGGTAGTAGTTAAATGGATATGAATCAAATGGTAATGGTGCAATGGTTAGAAGTGCCCAGTTGGCAACCTTTGACCATAGCTAAGCATGATACAGCATTTTCTGAGCTAAAAATATCATGTGTTTTTGTTGCCTAAGGCAAATTAAATATGCTTTGATTAAGATATCAATTATATAATCATTAAATATATATCAGCATATATTTTAATTACATATAATTATAAAGCTAAATTATCAAATGAATTTATCTTGAATTATTTAAAAGTTTTCATTTAAATGACAATAATTTACAATTATTTAACTTTTGGTGTAAAATTTATTGATTAAGTACAGTAAATTTTCAAAAAAACCTGGGACTTTTTAAGTGGGCCCACACACACACACACACAAAAACCAGCTGGTTTTATTTATGCTGGATCCATTTTGGCAAAAACTGTCATTAACCCTATAAGATTCTAAAACTTCAAAAGCTGATCACTATATGTTGAGTATTTAAATAGAGATGAGAAATATTTCACAGATTGTAAAATCAGCCATTTACCGCTTTAAAATGCTTGCGACAGTAACTTGTTTTAAAAACTCATTATCTAAAGTAGGGATGTACAACCTTTTTAACTGAAGGACTACTCTCACAGCAGGGAGATTACACGCATATTTAGTCATGTTAGCGGCAAATATGATAATTTTTGTATAAACATTAATGTTCTAAGCACTAAATATTTTCATCGGTAAACTTAATAACATGTTTGCAGAAAATTAAATACTTATAATCATTTGAATTTATTCAAAGCTAAAAAAAACTGATACTTTTTTTTTTAAACTGTTTTTATTTTTCACTATAATTAATTTATCAAATATATATATATATATATATATATATCAGAGCTCGAAGAAAGTCAGAAATTTTACCCGTCCCTGAGGACGGCTTGTCCAACAATGTGCCCGTCCTCCTTTGAAACTAACCCGTAGCTTCTAAATAAATAAAAATATAATTTTCTCTTATTTATTACAAACATTTATATAAATTGCACAATGAATTAGTAGTTACTAGGATTACAAATACTAGGTTGCTAATAATAAAACCTAGTATTTCCTTTATGAAATAATTTATTTCTTTTATGAAATAATTTAAATGACAAAGGTCAAGTTATCTGGAATGTCAATTTATCCGAGGGTACTTCGTTTCTTAAATTAAACAAATATGACGTTTGCCAGTTCCACAATCAAGCCAATGATTTACAGAGGTTTCTGCACAGAAATCTGAAAGGGGTTTTCCATTTAGGTGGATGTTCATAATTGCGTTTAACGCTTCTTGTTTAAGACCAGTACATAATGTGTATTTTTGTAAGCTCATTGCTGAAAAGCCTCTTTCAACCACTGCAGTACTCCCAGACAGAGAAAACATCAATTCCACCAAGCGCAGTATGTTGCTGTATTTCTAGATTAGAGGGTCATTTTAGAAGTGAGGCGCTAGACTCTTGTAAGATAACAAAAGTTGAAAATGTATCACGAATATTAATGGGAAAATGGCCGACCGCGCGGACGTCGGATTCGAGATATTTGTTGTCCGCAGGGAATTTTTGACCGCCGAGGACGGGCGGATGGGTGGTTTTTCGAGCCCTTATATATATGTATACACACCAAAAAGAAGCTTAAGCAAAAAGAAACAACAGAATGAAAGTGCAAAAAATATATGCATTTAATAGAGCAATATAAATTTGAATTAAATATTTTAGAAAATTTATTATATTTAAACAAAAATCACATTAAAATATTTATTTTTGTGTTCAGAAGCTCCCGTGGGCCACACATCGACAGTCTGCAGGTTGCGCATCCCTAATCTAAAAGAAACTTTTTAACTATGTCATTTTTTTTTTATACAAAGTTACATTCAACTACGCACCCTGGATATAACAACTTATTGTTATGCAAAAACATAATTTATCAGTATTAAAAGTATCCCTTTTCAACTCGTATTCGGAAGAAGGTTTTCATAAGAAGATGCGTAAATGTATGGAATACTTTCAACTCTTGTAAAATTTTAATTTAAGAATACAAAAAGCATGCGGAAAGCTACTACAAAATACGGAAGAGCTATTATATTTTCCATATTAGATACTGTAAGGAAATAATCACCTGCATTACTCCTTTTTCTCCTTTCTCCACAGGTTTAATGGAGGATGTAACTTTAGAATCCACACTGTCTTTAGAAACTTGAAGCAACACATCAACAACATAAATAACCAGAGAATCTTGTTTGTTTTCCTGAAAAGAGTTATTTACTGGTTTAGTATTTCAAAGAATGTTAAAAATACAAATAAATTTGCTGATAAATACCATGGTTAAGACATGTTAAACCAATATTTAATTATTTAACAATCTAATTACCAAAATTTAGCTATAACTTGTTTATAGTTCATAAACAATTTCAAGACATATTTCAATTTTATTATTTACTTACTTAAAAAGAGCTGAAACTAACAGTTATTATTGTAGGAGAGCTATTACAAAAAAATTTTAAAAAATAAATATTTTTTCTTCCCAGAAGTTTTATCTACTCACATACTCAGAAGTGATTGTGACCAACTAAAAAATCCTGAAAATTTCTGGAGTTAAATCATTAATGACGCATTAAAAAAAATTAATGTCTTTATAAATTTAAAACATTGATATTTTCACAACATGAAATTCTAAATAAATTATACTTTTATCTCTATTCATATTTAATCTAAAAGAAAAAATATTTACAAATGAAAGAGATACCAAGTATAAATTCTAGTTCTAATATTTATAAATAAAATATACAAGAATTTTTATACACAAATATGATCGATGATTTCCTGAAACTTTTGGACCTAGGAGTTCTGGATCGCAGTTGGCGAAAAATCCAGCCTTTTTTCGGAGCACAATCTCTGTATACTTCCAAATAAAAAAAAAAGTTCAAAAAACTTTATGTAGTTTTATATTTTTAGAAGAATTTCATATAGAATTCTAAAATTGTACATTAAGTACCTTCTTTTACATCATACAGACAAATAGAATAAGTACTAAAATTCGAAAAATCAAAATCTGGAATTAGAGGTGCAAGTTGACAAATCACTGTTTTTTGAAGTTCTGTGACTAAGGAAAATAAAAAAGCCATACTTTAAGTGTCTTACACTTGAAGCAATTTGATGATTTTAAACTATATGTATAATTTTGCTGCAAAGAATATCTGGGTTTTAGAACAAACAAATAACTTAAATATTTTGAAAGTTATTAAACTTTTTTAAAAAATTGCTAACATGGCGACATTTTTCCACCTAAATGAAAATTTTCAAAATCACTGCCTTATTCTCCAGTTTTTGTAAATTTTTATGGGCCCAAATAATGCTGCATTGGAGTAAGTTTTTATATATTAAACCATAAACGCTTTCTTTTTCACAAAACTGTGGCTTTTCTCCATATTGATACTTTGCACCCTTTTCAAAATAAGCGTGAATAATAAGCTTACAGCCGCTAGATATGTTATATTTGACCTATCAGTCACGAGAAACATTTGAAAATCCACAAATATTTTAAAAAAGCATATTATTCGCAAAAAAGCATAATTTCACATTACGACAGAGTCTTTGAAAAACAGCCTTAAGATAGAAATTTTCAAAATAATGGAAGCATGTCCTAAGCAAATAAGAAAATAACATGCAAATTTCCAATTTCAAAAATAAGATTCTGGTCACAAATATAAACTAATATATTTAAGACCTATGAGGATTCATTAAGAAATAAAGTTATAACAAATGTCACTTAATCTAATTATTATTTTTTTAATTTATTAGATAATAAAAAAGTTGCTTTACAATAATATGTTAAAGGTATGCCTAGTAACATGGTTGCTACTCAAATCTGGGAGGAAAAAAATTCCCGTATTTTCCCTGTGCGTATTATACAGTATATTAAGAGCACAATCACTATGTTTTTCCTCTTAATATACAGTGTATAAATTATTTATGAGCTGTGTTGGGCTAACTATACAAGTTATAATTGCCGTAAAAACTTAGAGCAAAAGGAACAGCTGAACATACTTAAAACAAATAATGTTAGAGAACTGGTTTAATATAGCTTAAATACATATATGGCAGTACTTTTACTTTCGTTACTTGTACCGCCGGTACAAGTAAAAAGTACGTACTTTTACTTGTACTTCGTTACTTTTTAAATTTAGTACTTTTACTTGTACTTTCGTTACTTTTTTAGGGAAAAAGTACAAGTATTTGTAACGGAAATATCGAATGAAATCGTTACTTTTTTCTAAAACTCGATAAGCTTTCTAAAGAAAAAAAAAATAAAAAATAAAAAAAAATTAAATTAAGAAAAAATACTTATGTTTTTTTAAATTTATAAAATTAATGCGCAATATATATGCATTCATAGCTGACTTCGTGTTTAAATACCTTCTGTTTCAACGTATACTGCATATTCAATTATTTTTTACTAGCTCAACGATCACAAAGCTATCTGAAACTCCGTGTTTGCTTTGTTTATGTTTGTGCTTTAAAAACACGTTTCTAAAGAGTAAAACAATTTTAAATCAATGGTAATTTAAATAAATAAAAATAAGATTTTAAAAATTAAAATCAATAGATAAAATTTCTTTTTCGTGCAAATCCATAAAAAGTTTAATATTAAGATTATATTTGATTTTAAAATTATATTATACGATTATATTGTAAAAATATATTATAATATTCTTCCGAATTTAAAAATAAATTAATATCCATAACTTTCAAAATTAAAAATAATTAAATAAATAACAACAATTTTGCAAAAACATTAAAGAACATAAGAATATTATTCAATAAAATTTTAGGTTACTTTGAATTTTCGATTTCCTAGAAATGTACTTTTAAATCGTTACTTTTTTTGTTTAGTACTTGTACTTTTACTTGTACTTTTTACTCGTTACTTTTTAAAATAAGAACTTTTTACTTTTTACTCGTTACTTTTTTTAAAAATACTTGTACTTTTACTCGTTACTTTTTAAAAGTAACGTTGCCATATATGCTTAAATATCATCCTATTTGTACTTTGAGAAGCTAATATTTTTTAAAAGACAAAAATGAGAAGCAAAATTCCCTGCATTTTCCCTGCTATTTAAGGCAATTTTTAAATTCCCTGTATTTTTCAGATTTTCCTTGTTCTCCCTGTGGAATGGCAACCTTGAAAAATAATTTTTAAAAAAAAGAGATTGTAAACTTAAACAGGTTGCGGACTGGGATAAAATTAAAATTCCTTTGAAAATAAAGAATCAATTTGGATGTAATAAAAAGGAGATATTTACAGTGCATACATCCAAACACTAAAATAGCTCGTATAAGAATATAATAAATGAAAACCATTCAAATATTATGTAAGCATCTAATTTACTCAGTTTTTTCTGAAAGGGGTATGACCAAATCTAAAGTAAGACATTATTATCAAAAAAAAATTTTGAAAATGGAAGAAAAAAATTATTAAAGCAGTTTTGAAAAATAAATATTATAATCGAAAAAATTTTAAATCTCAAATACAAGTTAAGTAAAAACGTTAGAAAAAATTTTATCTACGATTTTTCAGAGGTAAAGATGTTTTAACCCCAGGAGGAAAAACAAATGATTCTTATAAAATGAATTGAAACATACATTTCGTTTGTTGATGGTTAACTTGGACTTTTATCCTAAAGTTAGATTACTACAGTAAAAGAGAAAGCAAAAAACAAAGGATTTCATAACTAAAGCATGGAAGAGTTTGTGATTTGCTTATTTTTGTTGACAAAGAAGGATGGATTTAAAATTTCCTAAAACATGCTTACACCCCTAAGAAAGCCTTCATGTATAGAACAATATATATATATTTTTTATTTATGTAGGAATTTTTTTCTTAAATCTCAAAATAAAATAATACATATTTTAATATTGGCAACATTCTTCTAATCTAAAAAGTATTATATAGTAAATCATTTTTTAAATGTTTGCTATTTGGAAATTACTTTTTATAATATCAAATTTTTATAATTACTTTTTATATACAATCTGAAATTCTAGCTAAAGTCAATCATTGTGGAATTTTTTTATTCTGAAAAAACATTTTCATGAGCGTTTATTACCTCCAATTTGTGAGAATGGCATTTCTTGACTAAAATTCTGCAGAAAGTGGGATAAAAGTTCGGTAGAAAAAAATATTTCGAAAAATTCTGCAGATAATAAAAAACCCAAACTTCTTTGCTTCCCAAATAAAAACACTCAAATAAAACTTTAAAAAATACAAATCATACCGAAGATTTCTTCTGATAGTTAATGATCATGCCCCATCCGAAATCTTGCTCACCGTTTTGAACCTGAAAAACAAAAAAATAAAATTTATCAAAATTAAAAATAATTGCACATGGGTTATAATTGTACATGGATAAACAAAAGGCATAAAACTTACTCTAACAAGCCTCCCAGGTTGGAAGAACGGAACACAATATTCAGGTTGAATGATGTAACTGTGGTACTCAGCAGAAAGTGCAGACAGCTGTTTTTGAATTTTATAGTAAGTGTCTACTTCCTCTTCTTTCTTTATTAATATGTTATCATGATTCTCTTCAAGTTTCCGTATTCCTAAAAGGAATTTTAAAAAAAAACTTTAATTAATAAACAAATATTCCTGCAAATTCCTGCTCAGGTCTACAAAGGAAAATTTTATTTTAGTTACGTTTCATTAAACAATTACAATTTTTTCTCTCATATAAAACTAAAATTAATTAATTATATTTAATAAATGGATTAGTATTTGAAAAAACTGCATTAACTTCAAACGTCATCCACTACAGTACTAAAAAAATGTATTTGAACTTGAGTGGATTGATAAAAAGTATTTTATTAACGACTAAAAATCTGTACAAGATATAGGGAGAGCGTGAACTAATAGTAGGAAAAGGAAAAAAAAAAAAGGCGTGGTATCACACAACTATAAAAGTACAGTACAGAACCCGTTATCCGGAAATCAGAAAACCAGAAAACCAAAAAACCGGAACGAAATTCGATTAATTTTCCCGCCATTTAAAAAAAAATATTTTCCTCATAAGATTTTAGGATTTTTTCTTTCTTTTTTTTTTTTGAAAAATGTTTACCTTACCACCATTTTGGAAATAATCATTAGCGTATTACTTCATCGTTTTTTCTTCTTTTAAAGATTATTTCCAACTATTTTTGTCTTTTTTAGTTGGGTTTAAGAATAAAAAAACGGCTTTTTGTATCGATTCAGAAAACCGGAAAAATCGGTTATCCGGAATGGCGATGGTCCCGATCGTTCCGGATAATCGGTTCCCTACTGTATAAATTTGGAGACGTGGACCATGGTAGATATATATGTTCAAATAGATATAAATGTTAGAAATTATAACTGATGTTACTTTTTAAAATATGCGGAAAACTGAATCGCCTATAGTAAAATTTAAAACGATGATTAAACCTTAACCATTCAGAAAATTCCATTTCGTTTTTCGCTCATCCCTATTTAATGAATGAATTAATATTTGAAAAAAAACTGTATTAATATCATATCTATTTTATTAATGACATAAAAAAGTATTTTATTAATGACTGAAAATTTGAACAAGATATAATAAGAGAGTGAAGTAATAGTAGGAATAGAATCAGTTCAGTGACTCTAAATTGCAAGAAGTTAAGTGATAACTCACTGTCATAAAGTTGTGGGATAGCGGAGTAGTTCTGAAATTGAAAGAATGAACGTTCCAACATGTATTCTGGATTTATTTCGTCCACCCGCAACAGATTCAACACCATGTTGTAGGTCAGGTGGAATGCTGAATTGATTGGATCTGGCAAACCCTGAAAAAAATAAATAATAAATGTTATTAATCTGATACAATTTGTGTGGTGGAAATACATGCGAGAACATCAACGATCATCTAACCTTAACGATGTCCTTTCCAGCAGATGGACTCATTTTCTCATCCACCATTAATATGACGATACCTCTTTCATCGAGGCCTCTTCTCCCGGCTCTTCCACTCATTTGGATGTATTCTCCAGACGTCAGCTGTCAATTAAAAGTAGTGGAAAATAAAATTTGCATAATTTGAAAATAAAATATACCTCACTTATTATTTAACAGGGTGCATTATTCAACTAAAAATTAGCACTTTTTAAGCATAGAAATTTTTTTTAAAAAAAAACTACATACATTACCAAAATGCAAAATAATTTTTAAAGACTTTATATTATCATGATAAAATAACTAGTTTCTGACAAAGAACTTTTTTTTTTATTATATTAGCCATTATAAAATGAACGAGAGATTTCTCAGTTCGAAATCAGAAGGTGGAAAATGAAATCTGAAATTGAGAATATATTAAAAAATACAGCAGAGTTGTACATGAAAGTGCAATAATCTCACTGAACCCAGCTCAGTATAAATGGCACATACAGACTGCGAGTATTGCATAAATTATAGGTGCTTTCATAAGGTATGGACCGATGGTACGACGAAATAGATTGTGGTTGGATGAGTTGTGAAAACATTGATTACAACAATGTTAAAAGCACGCTTTTGCATAATATGTGGATAAAATAGACATGGTAAACAAAAAAATCTCATTTTTGAAAAGGGAAAATTAAGCACTTTTCAAAAACTCCCAATAAAAAAAGCACCTTTAAGGGCTTTTAAATAACAAAATTTGGAAATAAGCACCTTTAAGCACTTTTCAAAAATGCTATGGACCATGTTTATTTATTAATCAGCTCTTCTGTATCTACTCCCAAAATATAGGGGGCAGCTGCAATCTGGGATCCCAATAGTTTGCTCAGGAGGGTGCCCCAGAGTTAGAACCAATTAATGTTAACTTTACTTCTTGCGTATTTCGCTATATCTTGAGAAATATTAAGCGAATTGAATATTTTTGCACACAATTATAACATTTGTTTATCCACAGATTATTCCATGTAAAAAAATAACTTTAAGAATAGGCAAAATATGCTTAATTTTAAGGTATACAATTTTTACTTCATTTTAAAGAAAATAATTTTGCATTGCAAAATACAAAATTTGAACGAAATCGGTAGAATAGTTCCTGAGAAGTTGAATTTCAAAAAAGTCAAATATTTAAAGTTCGACTTCTCAGGAACTACTTGCTCAAATTTTGTATTTCATATAACACATAATTTTTATACAACTTTAACAAATATACAACTTTTTTCGACTATTATTTGATAAAATAATATATATATATATATNTTTATTTCCTTTTCTAATGATTATGATTTGAGTTACCATACAACGTATGAATGTAACTAAAAATGTATGTATGCATATATATTTACCTAATGCATATCTAGGTTATATATATATATATAAAGTGGTGGCCAAAAGTGTGGACATTTTTTGAAAGTTTCATGCTTTGCAACTTTGTGTGCTTGTAGAAGATATTAATTTTCACTTAAATACATATGTTTATGTATCAAATTTAAGGTAATTCAATTTAGAATTTAATAACAAAACAGAATTAAAATATCTGGATGACAAAAAAAATTATGCTCATTTTAGTAGAACAAACACAAATCGTTTTGAATAAGGATGTGTTTTGTAATAAAAGCGTACTAGCCAATCACAAACACTGTTCTTAGAAACAATCAAATGTCTGTAACTATAGTTAAGGTTATTTGGATGATAAAATAGTTATTGTTGTGGAAATATTTTGCGGAATGATGCATACTAGTACAATTAAATAGAGTATTGCTGTTTTTTAATATTTAAAGTCCTTTTTCTTTAAATTAAACTAATTTTAAACAATGTCATGAACAAGAAGAACTAATTGGACATCTATAAAAAGAAGCCGAATTGTCATATTGAGAGAAAATGGCCTCTCTTATGCTGAAATTGCAAGACAAGTTGGTGGTTCAGTGACTTGTTCTGGTGTACGAAAGTTCTGTTTTCGTTATGAAAAAACGAAATCAGTAGAAAATAAAGCCAAATCAGGCCGAAAAAAATGCACAAGAAAAATTTCATCAGATGCCATTAGATGTGAAGTTATGAAAAAACGAAATCAGTGGAAAATAAAGCCAATCAGGACGAAAAAAAAGAGAAGAAGAAAAATTTCATCAGATGCCATTAGATGTGAAATCAATGCAGTAAGTATTGCAGTAAGTTCAAGAACAATAAGAAGAAGATTATCAGGATTTGGACTACAAGCTAGAACTCCAAGGAAAAAACCATATTTAAATCATAAGCAACGCGAAAAACGAGTTAAGTGGGCAAAAGAACATATTAAATGGTCATAAAATCAATGAAAGCAAGTAATCTGGCAAATGTCATGATTTGGGCCTGAGTGCCAAAAAATACATTCAAACTGCCCAGAAACCAAAATTGATACCATCCATTACGGACCTCTTCCCCAACAATGCACCATTTATTTTTCAGCAGGATTCAGCTCCATGCCGCACAGCAAAAGTATGCAAAGCATGGTTTCAAAATAAAGGCATAGATATATTACCATGGCCAGGAAACAGCCCTGATCTCAATCCAATTGAAAATTTGTGGCGAAGTTTGAAAATTCTTGTACGAAAAAAAAAAACGTCCATCCAATAAAAGACAACTTATTGAAGCTATAATTGATTCTTGGTACCATGTAATTACGAAAGATGAACTCCAAACACTCGTTCACTCGATGAAAAGACGCTGTGAAGCTGTCTTAAAAAATAAGGGTTATCCTACTAAGTATTGACTTTGTAAGTATCACTTTAAAAAAATGCAAATCTAAGATAGATCTTACTATTAGTTGCATGACTTTTTTTGTAATCAAGATATTGTAATACTGTATTTATTATTAAATTCTACATTAAATTACCTTCAACTTGATATATAAACATTTGTATTAAAGTGAAAATTAATATATTCTACAAGCAAAGTTGAGAAACATGAAACTTTCAAAAAATGTCCACACTTTTGTCCACCACTGTATATATATATACTAAAATTTATTATTTGCACAGAATTATCTTTGGATAAACAAATTTTATAATTATGATCAAAAAGTTTTCAATTTGTGTAATAAAAAATTATAAACAGGAAATTAATTAGAATCTTTTTGTGTTTATAAAATAGATACTATTTATTTAAATACATAGCTGCCAACATACATAGGGAAAAATCCAGCAGATTTAACGAAATACAAATTTCATGGTTACTGTTGCATAATATACTAAACATTTTACATACAGGGAATTTTAAGGATTTTCGTTCTTCGCCTTGGAAGATGCCGGAAGTGTTACTCATTTAACGTTACCCAGTGGGCACCTGTGAACCTAAGTCACGGAGGCGAGCAACATTATCCACACCACAAATACCCGTTCATAGGGTGAGTCACATTCACACAACACATAGAGAGAAACATCCATGCCCAGAGTGCGATACGAGCTCGCAGCCATTGGCTTCCCATTCAGGCACGCTAACCGCTCAGCCACCTGGCCATCATTTTCCATTTACAATCGACATTAAAAGATCTTGAATTTGAAATGATTTTCATTATATTAGCTCATAATTTTGAATAATAATAGAGAAGCAATTTATTATTGATGATTAAATGATTTTTGAAGTAATTTAAAAACAGAGGTCTGAAAAAAAAATAAACTGAAAATTTTAGAACAAAAAAAAAAGCTTTAGAATATAGGTAAGGCGTGGTTAGTCATACAAATAGTATTATAATATGTATCAGTTATTCCTATTAAAATATTCAAGCAAGCAATAAATTGGGCAAAAATTTTATTCAAGGTATCTGCAACATTTTAGATTTTAAAAATTTATGACTTTCCATGACTAATTCCAAGAATTTTTCATGACGTAACAAAGTTACTATTTTCTTCGAGAAAAAAACACAACAATAAATTTAAAAAGCATTGTAATAACATTAATTGATATGATAGGTATAACCAAAACTCTGCATCTTCATATTTATAGATTTTAAACTTAAAAAACAAAGTAAAGAAAGAGTTGAAGCAATAAGATAGCTGAAAAAAATACTAAAGCAAAAAAAAAAAATTTTCCTGCAGAATTATATTCTAAAGATACTTTTCTTGCTTATCGAAAAAGAAAGAAATACTCCCGACTTTTCTATTCTCATTTTTGGAATAAAAAATTTCGCCAATGACAGGCTTGCTTCAGATAGAATTTGAAATTGATACAATAAAAAAACAATAATATTAAAAATCTTGTAATCACAGAAGTTTAAAAGATAATTCATTCTAAAAATTATATTTTTCTTTCATTTTTTGAAAGAATATCATAATTTTTAAAAAACGCGATAAAACATTTTATATATTAATAAAATATGACTGTGCTTGGGGGATTTTGTTACAAATTCAGATATTCAAAACTCCATGAAATGGGGGAGGGAGAATTCCATTTCAAAAAATAATTTTTCAGTGACCTAAGTTCATGACTTTCCATCAATTTTTTTTAAAAAATTGTTAAAATCATGACATTTCAAGACAAATTTTGATCAATTTTGATCATGACTTTCCAGGAGCGCGGATACCCTGTCTATTTCAATAGGCCCATTCCATGATTTGCTATACCAAGGGGGTAAAATTTCAAACTAACAAATTGATAAAAATAATGGCTCATTCTAATGTAAAAAAAGTTGAATTTTTCAAATTTGCTAATGATTTGGATCAAAAAAATTTATTAATACACTAAAATTTACTATTTTATTACACTATTTGTTTCACGATTTCTAATATGATTTGAACAGTCACCAATTTTTTTACTTTAAGATGATAAATATATTAAAATGATTAAAACTGGAGTTAAAAAATAATGTTATGGAATGTTTCAAAGGTAAAACACATGGTCTATTTAATTAAAAAAAGTTTTTTAAATATGTTTACCAGTGGGAAAAGAAAAACACTTTTTGATAGTCACACACGTCACATTCACTTTAAAAAGTTAATATAAAACATTAATGTGTGTGAGTATTAACTAAAAAACTTAGTTTATAAATTAGTGTGCATCAAGATGGCTAAATCTATCAGGACTTTTTATTTTGTTACATATTTTACACTTTAAAATTAAATTTTAAAATGTCACACACGTCACATTGTGACGTGTGTGA